CGCAAAAAAAATGGCATGTTTGAAGTCCTTTACTTTTTTATTTGCATATTATCTATCCACCTTTATCAGATTCTCTCTGTACCCAGAATGGGCTGTAGAGGAAGCCACATCTGCCGACAGCTGATCAAGATAAACTCTCAAATGGGAGAATAATCATTAAGTCGGCTCATGCGTTTTGCATTCATTACTGTTTGTGGCTCCACAGTCATTAGGAGTGATCTGGTCACATATTGTAACCTAGCAAAGCACTGAAGCTGCTAATGAAGGCCCAACAATCTTGTTTACATCTTCCATTGAGAGATATATTCTGCTGGCATTTGTCAGTGTTTGACATCATTTTCTTCTGTTTGATGAATCGAATGTGAATACGTTTAAAAATGGATTTCCGTGATGTAACATCGAAGGCTAAAGGAAGTGCACAAGAGAAGTGATCAAACATCTAGTGTTCTGTGTTACTCAGTCACAAGAAGCTGGGAAGGGAGCATACTGCATCTTTTAGGGCTTAGCTATGTCCGTCCCAATTACGAGTGATGACAATGCAAAATTCAACTTTGAAAATGAGAGAAGTTACAATTCACTTTTAACAGCGGCATTTTTCATGAATATGGAAATACAGACGTGAGGAAGTGGTCTTTGGGATTACACACTCTTGGCAGATGATAATAAATTCGGACAGAGTTGTTTACAATCAAAGCACAGAGTTTTCTGTCCCTAAGGACAAGCTGAGCAAAGGCACATCTCAAGGTGAGCGGAGCTGTGGATGGAGAATCTGGAAGCTAAATATCCATACACATTTTGGTTATTTATCTCATGCAACATTAATCAGATGTTTTCTGCTAAACTTTACTATGTCATATCCCCATAAATGCAACAGAAATGCAATTTTGAGTCAATGTTATCTCGCTCTGTGAAGGCCCTGTCCTCTTGAGCCATTTCTGTGTATCTCTCAAGTCTGTTTGCCTGCATGATGAGTGCAGGGGTGATGCAGGAGTCAGCCTGGAAAAGAATAAATCACTCATGGAGGCAGCTTTGCAGTATGGCAGCAGATGACAGCCGGAGGGCAGTTTGAGGAAGGCAGTAGGCATGAAGGGCCAATCAGGCTGTCTTTCTTTATCATATTACCAGGCAGTTGTAGAGGGAATTGAGGGCAGGTCATGATTACCACCAGCCGTGTTTCTTTGGTAAGCGGAGACCACACAGAGACAGGCAGGTGTTGTTTACATCTGACTGTCATTTTGTGCGCAAGTAAGGAGAAACGACTGAGACACTCTTTTTGATTGTAAAGTCATTCCAGTAGATTTAAGTGGAAGAAAACATTTTGCTGTATATATTACAATGAGAGCTTCAGCATGTGAGCTGAGACCGTTGACAAAGGCGTGCACATATTTCCCCAGCAGGTCCTCAAACATTTATGAGTTCTTCAGCTCATGTTGCTCCATGGAGACCTGTTAGATTTCATTGCATAATTCTGTGCACTGTTCCAACCTCTATTGTACCAATGAACCTCTGTTTATTTGCCAGGATGCTTTCTATCACTGCTCCCTCAGCTCACAAGCCAGAATAACAATGACTTTTTTATCATTGAAAGTACTGTTTGATCCCCACTCACATGGTAGATTGTTACAAAATAGGCTCACACAACTGCCTTGCCTTTATAGTACTCACGCTATTCAAGCTAACCAAAAGTGCGGTTTCCTAATTTTATTCTGACAATATCTGTAATAGTCATCATTTATCACAATAAGAAACTTCATGTGCCTTTATTTCATAATGAAAACCATGAACCAATTCTGGGTTATTTATCACAAACGCTTATTCATCACAGTCACTACATTTTCTCTCACGAGCAACTTCAAAGATATTGCAATTTATGAACTGCAAATGTATTTGCAAGATGACGAGGCGATAGAAGGCAAGGTCGTTTATAGACGTTTTGCTGTCAAAGCAGAGCAAAATCAAAGTGTTTGGTGCTCTCCATGGTTCTAAAATATATATCGATCGATCTATCAAACTGTCTATTGTGTAATATGATACATTTTTTCTTCCTGTTATTCCTCATTAAATCAGATGCATCAACTGATAGAGAAAATAATCTTTTCTCGCTCAAAATCACTTTTCAGTGGTTGAGGAAATAAGGGAAAATGTGATCCCATGGCGCCCACTGGTGTTAAAACAGTTTATCTGCACATTATATCTCAGATTTACACAGGCGGCGTGCCCAGGAACACTGCTCCACAGTCCTTCACAGTTTAACTTGCAGCCTCTGACCATTAATATTGTGTGAAATGACTTCGAACAAGGTGAAAATGAGATTTTCATAAAAAGTATTTTTAGTGCTGGCTTTAATCCCACTCACCACCTGCTGTGCCTCCTGAAGATTCAAATAAACTGTAAGATTTTATAACATGCAGAAAATTGTAAGAGTTTCTGATTCTTAAGAAAAGAGCGCGCGAGGTGGGGAGAGGAGATAAAAAGGTATGGGGATTAGATCTCCTTGCAGGCATGAGGCTGGCTCCTCTCTCTTGTTTTTGTCCTGTGGGATGACAGTGCAGAGTGGGATTCATTGTCTCCATGATCTGTGCAGGGTTGTTTTGTACAACACCTCTGTCTGCCTGAAGCTCTTGCATCATATACAAATGCATGCCTTTTCGAAGAGCAAGTGCAAGAACACACGCACGTTGTTTCCACAGACTGTAAAAGGAGATTTTTCAAGACACACACACACACACAAACACACACACACACACACACACACACACACACCCTGTCATGGGACATTAATTCTGATTAGTTTTTCTTGCGGGACAATCCATTTTATATAAAGATGCCCAAATTTCAATCTCAAACAATGGACACTGCTT